CGACTACACCCGCACATCCCTAGCTAATACATTAACATATCAAGTTGTATAAATTAACATTAATGTGTTATAAACTAACATGAATTAATGATGACCAAAAGTATAAATTACCATTACCCTACATTAATAAATGTTGTAAAAAATAAATTATTCAAATTTGCTAATGTTAACGGACTAAACATTCTTGTCATGTGTGAGCTTTAAAGGACTCAAATTGACATTCAAAATCAGATTCACTTCATAGAATGTGGTAAAATGTTTCTTGTGGTTTTGCATTTGATTAGCCTATCTATTTTGAATAAAGAAGGGAAAAAAATACTTGGACACTTGTGTAAAGGAGGAAAAACTTTGGCTGGGACCTGGCAAGGAGCTTCAGGGGAAGTAAAAGTACACCAGCGTTGAAGATCAAGGTAACGCAAAGGCCAAATGGCACTCCCCCCTGATCCGGCACATCAATCAACTTAAGAATCCCCTAATGGATTCTTCCCTCTAACCTGTGGGTGACTGATATGCATCTTGGAACACAGAAACCACAGAATCTGATGCTGAAACAAGGTGTCACATTCTTCACTTCTGTTCTCAGGATTCCAATGCAATATTAAAACATGATCTGCAAGGAATGCTGCGTGAGGACATTTGATTTTGATGGGCTCAGAGGAAAGAAGATTGTTTTAGGCTTTCCTTTAGGCTTGAGAGTGTTTTTTTAGTTCAGATTAGCTCAAATCCAAAAAGTGCAACATCACAAATAACATACAGACCAAACAACTACTTGCATATCATGCAACAAGCCCACAGTGATGCAGTACCAATTTCTGCCGGGTTGACAGTAGCATGACCATAGATAACCTCTACTGCCATGGAAACACAAAGTGAATGAGTCTATGAAGTGTGCAGCTGCTGTGTGGGAAAAACTGTCAGAGACATGCCCTCCAGCAAAGATGTCATCCAACTCATACAATCCTGCAAGTTGCGAATACACAAGCATGAAAGCCATACATATAATTCATTCAACACTTCATTAGCACACTGTCGAGTGTCAAATTGCCCAGTACACAAGTGGATATCCAAACCTTTACGAGGTCCGTTAGTGAGTCAGTTGGGCAAAAGAGACTCTGTTATGCTCAATTAACATTTTTCCCTAAAATTTGCCTTTAATTATCATTTTAAAAGTCCACGGCAGCCAAGTTCAAGCCGCATGAAAAAAAAAAAAAAATCGATCAGCCCGAATCCAAAGTGCTCAGGAATCAGATTAAGCTCCGGAACAATCCTGGCGCTTTAAACAGACCTTCTTTACATGACAAAAAAACATGCACCGCTAATTTACAAGCATCTTGCACAGGGGGTCTCTGCATTCTTTGAACTCCAAAGACCAACAAAGATAAAATAATTGGTGAGTGGAATGCGTTATCACACCACAAAGACCCATTCATTGAGGGGAAACAGAGATAAAAGGTGCTGAGATGCTTTTACTCAGCATTGCTTTACCATTGCTTTTACTCCAGTCGATTCCAGAACCATCATTCTTGTTTACCGCACTGGAGGTCAGAAAAAGGAAGTGCTATCGCTTTTATCTACTCTGCCAAACAGCATAAACACAGCCCGATGGCTTAATACCAGCATGACGCACCATTTGCATATTGCGCTAGTACAGAGGACGTTAAAGGTCGCGCAGGACTCGGGTCGGAGGTTAAGAAAGGGTCAGTTTCGTTGGAGAGTGTTTGGGGTTAGATGTGGGGCATTGGACGGCGTAAGCTTGCAGGAGGATGTGAGTTCTAGAACCCTTTAAAACCCTTGTAAAAGTAAAATCAAATGCATTTGGATGCCTCTTTGTCTAGTTTGAAGACAGAGATGCTGAAACGCCATGTCATATTAAACATTGTTTGTGCTGCTGGATGTGTTGCTGAGGTAATGAGTGCGATTTGTAAACAAGGAGGGGTGGAGCATGACCCTCCACTCCATGTTTACATTGGGCAGAAATCACAGGAACCAAACACTGGGATTGCTGCGCTACAGTAATGCATTCTGGGTAATGATACGCATTGGGGAGCAGCCATTGCAGATATTCTCTTCTTTACAGATGAAAATGCTTTTGGCCTTGTTTTTACAGCTTTATCTCAAAGGCTTTCAGGTAAATAAATGAAGTAATGTGCATAAAACCACTTCCAGTAATCAGGTCTTCCTCAGGTCACCAGAACAGGAATGGGCATAGTGCAGTTTCACATATTTAGTTCTATTTTATTTTATTTTATTTCTAGGCCATGTTTTTCCCCAAACTGATTGAATTCTTTTGATGTGAAATTATTTTATGTGACATTTTATTATTTTTTTTATATGGGAAAAGGTTCTCAAACTGTGGCGTAGAGGTTGCAATGAATGTGCATGTTGTTATTTTAATAGATGTGAAATTATTTTTTGGATGCAATAATCAGAATTAGGGCTGCACGATAAATCGCATGCGATATTTAACGAGCATCTTATCAGTAAAGCCGGTTCTTTAATCAGCGGTAAATCTCCATCACCTGCGGGCTTTCACTTTGAGCAGCATTAACTACACAGAGCCGTTGTTCACTGACGAGCTGCGCAAAACCACGTTCATATTTGCGCGATTTTTTGCGCAGCTCGTCAGTGAACAACGGCTCTGTGTAGTTAATGCTGCTCAATGTGAAAGCCAGCAGGTGATGGAGATTTACCGCTGATTACAGAACCGGATTTCTGACAAGATGCGCATTAAATATCGCATGCGATTTATTGTGCAGCCCTAATCAGAATATACACTTTTTTACATTATAATAATATAATTTATTATGCATACATTTTCTATATAATTACAAATGATACATTCCTACGTCACTTGAAAAAGTGCTGTTTACCTTAATCTCACATAATGTTTTAATTTTTTTAACAGTTTGATAATAGCATAAACTGCTGCACACTTGTAAGAGAGTGCATCGTTTCTTTGCGAGCGCCCCGCACTCCCTCCCGTGCACCACTGGAATACATCAAACGTGGCCAAGATGGCTAATTAGTCCTCATTACAAAGGGAGCCAGGCTTCTTACATCAGCAAACAATCGCATCCATCAAAGCTTGACAGCACAGATCAAACAGAGACAGAGCGGCTCTCATAAGCAATACCGTGCGATTTCTATTTAGCAGACTGATAGGAGCTGGGCTTCTGCCAGCTAGAGTGAGACGAGGGGTTTCCGAAATGCATGGCATCATTTCCTGTCATTACCACGAAAGTAACGTGCCTGTTTTCGGCAAACAGATCCATGAGCTGTGCTCGGTTTCGAAAGGGAATTAACGAACTAATCGTTATTGACAAATACGCCGTTTTGGAGTGTCTGACTTCTCCCAACACCTCTTCTTTCCCCCAAATGTCAGGAAAGCACTGGGTGTAAAAGAGCAGATGAAAAGGTTAGAGCACGGGGATTACTGCGTGCGGCCGCATATTACTCATAGCTGTAGACACCACATCAGTCAGCTGATGAGAAGTGTTGGCGGGTTCACACATCATAAACACAGCGCAGCACAGACAGACGTAGAACATACGTAACTGAGGGTAGACAGCTACATTCGCTTACAGGAATATGACCGTGATGGCATTTCAGGCAAACCGAACACATTCATTTGTTGATTTAATCAACAGTTCTCAATCCTGGTTTTGGAGTACCCCAGCACTGCACATTTTGGATGTCTCCCCTATTTACCGTACTTAAAATATTATCAACATACTTCCCCTGTGATACAGCATGCAAAACGCAGTCACTCATAAAAAAGGGGGTTTTCACAGCAATGCCATTAAAGAATCGATGTAGGGTTCCCAAAAACCTCAGTGAACAGTGATGTGAAGAATGTGAAGAACATTGTAAAAATCAAAATAACTTGCAATGGAAAGCTTCTATGGATGTTAAAGTTTCTTTATGAAATACTGAAATGTCCAGCCAGAAGGCACTTTGATGAAGAGCAAAAAATACAAATAAAATAAATAAAATAAATAAATAAATGGCAGAGAACTGTAAGCCAGGTAGCGTTAAAGTGCTGTAGATATCAGTAAAGTTGCTCCACATGGTTAAATTGTTTAACAGTAGTAATTTTTTGTGGGATATCATAGGTAGTGCAAGGATGCATCTCTGCAGCTTTCAAAAACCAACCAGACATCCTGAACTAGGGGTCAAATAAGGGTGACCTCCAAAACGCAGTCTTCCAGGACAAAGAATGAGAACCACTTGATTAATTGACCTTCGTGAGCACACCTAGGCCTGTTAGTGACAGCTTCCAACCGAACTACACAGACACAGCAATGCAATAATCTAATTAGACAAACCAGAAAGACAACATTAAGGTCTGATTCTTTGCTCTTAGCTATACTGCTATTACAAATGGGCAGCATGTTACTCCAATTCTTAAATCAAGCAGAAACTGTTTCACTTACAGACCTGTTACAACATAAAAGCGTCACATCCTGAAGACAGAACAAGAATTTCTGACACCTGATTGACCTTTAAACCGTTTCAACCACATTAAACCAAATAAATTTTGTTTCCTGTTCTGGATCTGAACAGCAAACGTCTCTATAATAGCTTGACAGCATATAAACACACCCAGACATTAAACACCTTTGATCAAACCCCAACAAATGCCAGCCACAACGTTCAATGGCAAATCTGACTGGAGCCACACATGCAAACACTGCAGCAAGCATGCATGATCACGGAGCAGCATTCAAAGCATTTGCACACAAATGCAAAGCAATAAATTGTGTTCGAGCTAATGCAAGACAAAGAAAGTTTGCCTGCCACTGCAATGACTGCACAGGCTGGCTGCCAAACTCAATCTAGTGCCAGTCATCAGCCTGAATAAATTACATTTCACTTGCATGAGAGGACTGGCGTTTCTATGAATCTTAAAGAGCAAATCAACAAGTAAAGCATCGAAATCAGCTGCATTAGTGATGAGATCAGGATCGCAATGCTGCAGAATCCAGCGTAAATGCCCATACCTGGTAGACGTGCCCTTCCGTACATCACAGATGCTGCATTTGAAGGCTTCGGCACTGTTTCTGAAAGTGCACACGCTACAGTCCCAAAATCCGTCGTCCGCTGTCGGTTTGGCTTGTCTTTTTGGCCTTAAATAACAAAAAGCCCAAATTATTAAGGTCAACTTCCACGTTTGCCCCCTAACATCCTACACCTTGACTTACACTGTCTCGAATGCGTTTAACGTAGCCGAAGTGGCACAGAAAAGTGACAGAAAATCCGAGTCATGACGTGCGAGGACGGTTTATTAGAACTGGAAAATACTGGAAATACACGCTAACCAGCTAACTAGCCACGGTTATTCTCCGTAGCTCCTAGTCACCGGGCTTAACGGAGATATTATACACTTGAAGGGTCTAGATTGGTGTCCGATGGCACGGCTGCTAGCGTTAGCTGGCGAGCTAAAAATATCGCGTCGGTGAACGACGTGAAATTGAATGTCAAACACTGTCCATTTAACGGCGAACTTCGATTAAAAACCGCGTCCGAAGAGGCCAGGCGTATCCCGTAGGAAGAAAATCTCTTTGTCTGAGAGGTACCGAGTCATGTTTAGAGTCCTCTATGAAGAGAAAGCCGCCATAGCTGCGCTTATTTCTGAGAGAAAGGAGAAACACTCCTCGAGAAAAGCATCGGGATATCCACCGAGCGAAAAACACAGCCGCGCGGACACCAAAATCGCTTCGGAAACTACCGACTGTCGACGCTTTCTTACCTGGTCGGGCTCTTTTTGTCGCCCATGGTGCAAAAACTGACTCTCAAAAGAGCGAAAAGGGTTCAGTAATTAACAATAATTGTGTTTGAAGGTCCGTGTGAGCGTGTAAGTGTGCGTCTGGTGGATCCACACAGAGAGTAGCGCTTGCAGGCAGACTCGGCTTCCCCTGACTGACTGACTGACTCTAGGCAGGGCGAAGAGATGCGTACCCCGTGACTGCGCCGCCCAATCACCGCTGTCGTCGGTTTAAAAGTCTCGCCAGAAATAATCGGCACGGATAGAGTAATAGTAGGCTACTACACTACTCTCCGATTGCCAAACGTAATTAGACTGTGTGCCTGTCGAGGTGAGAGAAAGCAGTAGTGAAAGACTGACTCGATGACTGAATGACTCTGCTATATATCAACAGCAGCACCGGGGAGTGTGCGTTGGATTGGGCTGTGTGGGGAGAAAAATCAAGTTCAACATGGGACACCTCAGTACTGAAATGACTGAAGGCATTTACTTTGTCTTATGGTTTACGATCTCAAACCATATAACCATTTAACCATATCAAAAGCCAAAAAAATGGAAATGCAGGGATCAAATGATCACCTAACTACAGTTTTAAGCCCGTCTTGAAGCATCTCAGTGCAACAAGTTTGGTAGCACAGATTTTAGTTTTATTTTTGAGGTTTTAAGTGTCTTACAACTGGTATGAAGAAACTTTTAAATTATTTTATTTCTGCTTTTTCTTTATAAAATAACAAAATTATTAGAATGAAATTAATATTTAATATATTATTATGAAAAGTTGTTTTTGGTAGGCTATCTAAAGGATCACAAAATAATATTTTCATATTTGGCTCATTGGTAAAGTCACGAGTTAATGGAAATGACAACAGTCCCCTCCCCCTGTAATCGTGACGTAGGCCTATAGTGCAACTAATTATCGAAAAAATTGGTCGTCACCAATTTGACATTTTGATTAAAAATTATGACCTCAAAAAAAGTAAACATATGGATCAGTCATTCATTTAGAAAATTTAGAAAAATGATTTTTCGTTTAGTGCGACTTTGAGCTTAAAATGCTGCACTTGTTAATGAATGAGAGCCAATGGAGTTTTGTTGTCACTGACATCAGCATATTGACATTTTAGTTATGGCTTTTTATCTGCTTTGACAAGCATGACCAGAAACTAAATTGTGCCAAAATAAACTGTGGCCTTATGGAGGATACAAGATGTCCTGAGTATAAACACAATTTACCTCACCTGTTTCTCTTGGTGTGAAACACACACACCACCATCGCCCCACAGCCAAAGAGATCATGAAGGGAACACAACACACATAACGAGCAACAGACATATGAGTGTTTTTAGTGTTTTTCTTATGGACTTCATGATTTCAATTTCTCAAGTGTCCAGTCCTCATCTGTGGCTTCCATTTATTTTGGATTGCACGGTGAAAACAAACCCTCGAAGAGGCCCCTCATGGCAGACACAAGGGCCCCTGTGTGGGGGATATGAAATGTGAATCATTAGCTGCTCTCCAGGGTTCCAGCCCCTCTGTGCCCCCTTTTCTCTCCATGTGCTGCTGGGTCTCTGTTGCAACTTCATGACAGACTCGTAAGTTTATTACCGGCTGATGTTGATTGGATGTTTGATCTGGAACTCTCTGCAGATGGTTCCTTACAAAATCCAGGACTGCTAAGAATACAAACATCTAAGGTTCGGAAAAGCCAAGAACTTCAAAGGCCAATGAAGTATGAACATGAAAATGATACAAGAATCACACAATTGTAAATATAAAATACAACACAGATGCTGTCAAATTCCAGCCCCTCTGTGCCCCCTTTTCTCTCCATGCGCTGCTGGGTCTCTGTTGCAACTTCATGACAGACTCGTAAGTTTATTACCGGCTGATGTTGATTGGATGTTTGATCTGGAACTCTCTGCAGATGGTTCCTTACAAAATCCAGGACTGCTAAGAATACAAACATCTAAGGTTCGGAAAAGCCAAGAACTTCAAAGGCCAATGAAGTATGAACATGAAAATGATACAAGAATCACACAATTGTAAATATAAAATACAACACAGATGCTGTCAAAGTGTTTTTAGTCACATCAGACGAATATGAAATATTACACAGCACTGATTACCTGAGCTTACAAACCAAGTTCACGCTCTGTCTTCAAACACTGATTCATAACTGAATGCAAAGAACTTGGAGAAAAGTTGTAAGAACCTGTCAGATCCTTAATTTAGATGAGCAAGCCTGTGATGTCTTAAAATTAGAACAGTACATTTGGCTATCACCTTTGTGGTACCAGATTGATGTCACAGATTTGAGCTCTTATACGTGCTGTCTCACGAATGATGAGATGTGATGTGGGAGTAAAGATGACTCAGATGAACACCCCAATCAGAACTGAGAATCTAGCAAACAGATGAAATCGACAGAAACTGAGAACATGGTTTCTTTCTGTTCTCAGTGTGGCCGGTCAACCTTTATTTGATGATGCATTTTAAAAGCCCACAGTGTTTGGATACACAAGTTTTAACAAAGAGGACGTTTTAACAAAGAAAGCAAAGTGAGAACTAAAGATTATCAAACTTTCTAATCTTATTTGTTTCACATAAATGGCTTTAGACCCAGCATTTGCATATAATAAATAAATGCTTATTAGTGAATTTTCAAGTATTCATGATTCTTTCAAGGAAAAAACAAAAAAATATTGAAGCCATAATCACAAAAAACAAAAACAAAGTTTACTATAAAAACAGGGCTTTGAAAAGTGCTGCAATGGCATAAAAGCCACTTTTATTTGACCTGCTTGCTTTTACTAGGACATTTTAATTAATTTAAAATGTTTGTTTCCAGGGTAAATAAAACACATTATGAATCAATTTAATCAGAGGGGGCCAATGTATCCTAAAAATAAAAAGGAGCACTATATGCCTGGCTCAAGGACAAAATCGGGGTGACCTCTAGATTTCTATCATTTTGTTTGTGTTTGGTTCATGTTTCCTGATTGGTTTCGAACCAGTAATTCGACAATTACCTCTTATGCACAACTCTGACCTTTGCTGCCATTTTCAATCCCGTCTCACTTAACACTCTGCAGTACTTTTCCTTTCTATTGGTATAAGCTAATGAGACATGATAAAGAAGAAAAGAGAGGCCTGTTAATTCAGTATTTTATGTTGTTGAAGACAGAAGAAAGAATCGGATGCATTTCTGCAGCCCTTTGGATAGTTTTCTTGCTACTGGGAATGAGTTTATGCAATTTGTTCTACTTGACCTTTAACCTTACAGATAAAACACATCTGGCTGTCGCCCCTTGGGCTGCTTCTTGTTGGCTAAACTCATTGTGTGTGCATACACTTGTGTTGGACTTCAAATGTGTTTTCACTGACCAGTAAACCCAGTTTAAATGACACATTTGAGCTACTTACTCACTGTTTTCTCTTGAGACAGATGTGGTTGACCATATATGCATATCTGGCACTGACACTGGGAATTTTATGTGTTTTTTTTTCCAGAGCACTGACTGATTCAAAACAAAATCTGGCCTGAGCTCTCAGCTGGCACGCTACCAAATGAAGGACTCCATCAATAGGCGTACTTGAAATGCACATTCTTTTAGGATCCCACACTATCACCCATGACTTACATTTGTGGCAAGAGTTTAGAGAAGCAAAACCTTTTTTCCAGTTTTTATATATTGTAGGAATTTTTACTCAGAAATTGCTAGTAAATTTCACTAATAGTAAGTAGTAAGTAACAAGTAAAGTAACACTTTGAATTAAACGTGATGAAACAGTATTTTCTTGTATGACATACTACAATAATTTTTTTTGTTTTGTTTACAACTTTGAAAAAAAAAATGTTTTACAGCATACTTACAAATTGTTGTCCATTACTGAGTTCAAATTACATGCCAAAAACTGTAATGTAATCCATTGCATTGCATATTTTAGATATTATGATTTTCATGATTTCCTTTTCCACACAAGGAATGTCTCCATAAGAGTTCCTGTTTGGAAAGTGGTTCTCTCACTCTGGTAGAGAGCCAAGAGCTGCTTATGCTCTGATGAGAGTGAGAGAGAGACTCCTTTAGTCTCACTCTACAGCATAGAGCTTTGCTGAATCCAGGGCAAGCTTCACAAAAGGTTGCAGAACTAAAGCCTGTAAGCTAAGTGTGTGTGCAGGGGAGTATGCATATGCACGCAGGCAGCATGGTGGGAAGGCTCAATCCCATGGTTTGTTAACTCAGAGGCGCCCTGTAACTTTAAACAAGAAAACGAGACGCTTTGCGTCAGCTGCCAGCTCTGCCGCTCTCACTTTCAGATGTCGTTTCGCTCTTCGAAAAGTAGAGCGCTTGCTTATCTTTCAAATTGTCACTCTTCACAGTTAAAGGCCTTCCTAAAGGTTTATCAAAACCAAAGTCACTTGAAAACAATCAGGCATGACAGACCAAGAATTGTGGCACATTTTCGATCAGGAAAAAACTCAAATCAAGCTCTCTGAGCATAGGTCACCTTTAGATGAAGGAATGAGAGGTTTAGAGACTTTGTAATGCTTTTATGTGGTACTTCTGACAAGAGCGGTTTACCCAGAAGACTATAAATCACCCGATGTGGTCAAGGAGACCTGAGTCTCGCAGAGCTAGACATTAAACTGTCTGACTGACATTTAGGTCAACCACAGTTTGTTTTACATACCATTTAAGGGTGGGTACATTTGAAATTGATGATACCACAATAATACACTACTGTGAAAAGAATTTCAGTCCATACACAAGTAATAAGAGAAATATATAGTTCAGTCATGAAACTCTAGATGGTGCAAGCTGACGGGTTGTTAATGTAACTGATGATATTCAAAGAGTTAAACGACTTGGCATAACCTGATTGGTTCATGCTGCATATGCAGCCAATGAGTTTACTGCCTTGCATTTATATGGCTGGCTAGCATTCACTTGAGATTCCTGCAGCATGCTTTCAGAGTTTCTCTGACACCCTCCACCTTACCCAGCTCCACCTGTATAGATCTGCTGCGGGTTATTTTATATGCTATTTGTGCAGCAGCAGTATGTCTTAAATACTCACGGCACCGTATCGCCATATGCATTGGCAGTAGCAAGTTCCTGTACTTGCTTGCAGCAGCAGCAATAATCTACAACTACAGCAATAACCAACAGCAGCAGCAATTCAGCAG